CTTAGTTGATTCGATGCGCAAGAGCATGCACTACGTATGAACAATTTCTTAAACTAGGTAAATTATTGCCAAACAAGTTTGATGAAATAAGAATATCAGCAGTCTCGTTTAAAGTCATCATTCCATAAGTTCTATGGTCGATACAATGACCTTGTCAGCAAATGCAATTTATCATTGAGTCAAATGCTGACTGAAGTTTTTCATACTTATTGTTAGTTTATTATTTATACACTGAATTGACATTTTTTCGTTATTTCCCAATCAAGACAAGGAGCACACGGCGGGTATGACCAGTCGGCAGGGGTGCTCACTCCTCCATGGCACCTTGATGTTTTGGAGGTCCGTGTTTGCTCTGCTCCTATTTTGTATTATTTTATGGACTTTTGATCTTTAATTGTTCGTTACTGTAAAATCACATATTTTCGAGGGGTCAAATTTTCGTAATTTGAGTAAAACATCTTGGTTCGTGGGGATTTGAATTCGTTGATGAAGAATTGTTGAGTAGTTATGTATGTAATATTTTACATTTCGTGGTGGACATGAATTTGTGGGTTTCTTCATACCTCGAAAACAACGTAAATTAAACCCCCAAGAAAATTTCACAGTCTCTCTTTACTTTTGCTTCCTTCTCTTTTCATTTGTCACATATTTTTTTTTATTTCACCTTTAAAAACTTCTCAATGACAAGTGTAGCATTTTTATTTTGTATTTTAAATTAAAACAATATTCTTTTTTTCTTCCTTTTATATCTTATTTTTCTTGATACTCCTGCTCTATCAAGTGTTCTGTGAACTCTTTAAAAAATCAATACAGCATAAGTATATATAATGACAAGTGCATGATCACATTTTCAAGGAAACATTTTTTTTTCTTATTACGGATGGTAATTTGTTGAGAGACATAAACACATAAGGAGGTGATTTTGTATTTTAAATTAAAACAATATTCTTTCTTGTTAATATTGTTAATGAAAACATCCTTTTATATCACTGCTACATGTAACAGGTCACCTGTTTAGATTTCTGCAGGGGCTCTCCCATCAATGAAAGATACTGCGATAAAAAAATCATAAAAGCAGTATTTACAAAATATCATAATTTTATTTTAGGTTATTTTTTATGCTTATCAAGTGTACTCGAAAACTAGGTTTGAATCAAAAGCTTCAACATAAAAACCTAGTTTAATTACATCCTGTTGACAGAAAACCAGTGTGGGCAGGACTAAAATTTCTTGACACATACAGCATAAGTATATAATTGCAGTGAATATTCATACATATATGGTTAAAAATTGGAAATTATGTGTGTTGTGAATTACATATATACTTTGTCAATATAATCATGTTTTCTTTTGAACTATGACGTGATCTCCTCACATTTCTGTTACCACAAGGAAACATTTTTTTTTCTTATTACGAACGGTAATTTGTTGAGAGACATAAACACATAAGGAGGTGATGTTAGATTATAACTACAAAAAATAAGGGAAATTGACAATGGATAACCTAATCATCCCTTTTGTCATACAGTCAATCAACACACAATTTCAGAAATTTATCAGTCCCTTACAAATTCAAATATATATAAATTAAAAAAGAAATGTGTTTGGCTCTCTGGGCTTCAGCTATTCATAGCAACAACTCATTAACTGAAGTACAAAAGCTTAACTACTTAAAGTCTTTACTAGTAGAAGAGGCATCAAACACCATATTCACACATGCAAACTTATTGATTCTACATGAAAGGGGTCCTATATGCAACAGAATAATCTCAAAACTTCATTTTCATGACCAATGGAGACATTAGGTTTTCCGGACAAGCTCAAGATACATATTTCTTGATTCTGAACAAATTACCTTGTGAATTCCTTTATCGATTGGTTACTAGGCGACTTACGAAAGGCTCTTTACAAGGAACTTGACATACTAGAAGCAGGAACTCATATGGACACAACGGAAGACCGTGCTACAGCTATATTCTACATGCACTCAGATTCCATTGATGAGCAACCACAACGAAACTACAGTCCTAGGAATCATCAAGTTTGCTGTGCAAAATATATTCAAGTGATATAAAAATCAATAAAACAAACTGTGCTTTAATTGTTTACAAAAGTCCAAATCAAATTGCAAAGTTTTATTTTAGGTTATTTTTTATTACAACAAAGGCTACTGGATGCAAAGCAGGGAAATCAAGAAAGGATGAAATCAAGAGCTATAAATGTGTCATTGGTAGCACGAAAACCATGATGTAAACATTTTACATACCAGATTTGCAAAGCTTCAGTCCAAATTTGATGCACAGTCAATTGCTACAAATCAGATGAATCAAGCTGAAGAGTTGAAGAAAAAAGAAGTTGAAGTTTGTCATATAATTTTTCCTCAAAAGCTTCAACATTAATTCCAAGGGATCAAATTACTGGTTTGAAGAGGGACAGAGATACCAATTAACCAAGATAACATTTATTAGAAAAGGAACAAAAGTACACTAATAATTCGGAATTCCAGAGGATAACAAAGTTCATAGCATGCAGATTGTTGACTTCAAGAGGATTTCTGTGGATGACACCAATATCAGACAACAGGAAAACCAAAACTTTGATGTCGAGAGGACATACAGTCAGAACCTCATCGAGTCACGGGATGAGATCGCAGAGATGAAGAGGAGGATGAAGATTATGGATCATCAGATTGATCAGCATAAGGAGCAAATTCAAGCCAAAGAGAATGCATTCATCAGAGAGTACTTCGGACATTAGAGTAAAGAGGAAGACGATTTTTTGAGACTTTGTTCATATACGTGATGGTACCAAACAGTTAAAGGAAATAACTTAAATCTAACGGAGGAGCGTTACATTTCAAGTGACATTCGAGTAAGATTTTTATTCATTTTCAATCAAACTTCCAAGGACTTTAATTATTCGGAGAATGTTGTGAAAAACTTTGGTGGGCCGGAGAATGTTGTGAATTACAGACATGTGCTTTTCATTTACCTTTGTCAATATAATCATGTTTATGTAAATGACTTTTCTATTGCAGTGAATATTCTATAACGTTATGTTATATATGGTTTCAAATACAAATGTGTTTTCTATGAGTGCTACAATCTTGACAATGTGCATTTTATTTTAGTGGATGAAATACTGTGAAAGCAAGGATTCTTAATCAATTAAAAGGTAAGTTTTGAATTCTGTAAGAAAAACCGATAAAGTCACCTTGTTTTTTTTAAATGTGCAGCAATGTGAAAGTCACCTTGATTATTTACAAATTTTTTTAAAATGTGCAGATTTAAAGATGTGAGAAAAAAAATCTATTACATATAAAATCAATATTAAGAAACGACTTCACCATTATCAAAAGAATGCTTTTCCTAATTATAGATATGCATCAAAATCATTGAAAGGTTAATCTGTACAAAATGGGTCATTATGAGTTTTATTCGTGCTTATGTGACCAAAATTGGAAAATCTGCTTAAAAATTTAAATTTAATGCTTCCTTCTATTGTCATTGGTTTTGTTTCAAGCAACGAACATATTTAAATATAATATACTCACCGTCAATAGAAACGCAACACCCAAATTTAAAAAAAAATTTATTACATATAAAATCAAAAAATAGGAAATCTTTTACTTTGCCAAATCGATTTCATTACCATTATCAAAATAAAAAATGCTTTTCCTATTTTGGGTTTTTATAGATATGCATCAAAATCATTGAAGGGCATTTTCATTGCTAATGTTGGAAATTTTCAAAATGAGGTCATGAAAATATATAACGAATGTGTTTCAAAAGCATGAATGACAGTTCCTTGACCGGAAGTCCAATGGTTACTACACTACGCCAAGTTAGAGAAAATTCGACCTCAGTATCTGAAAAACAGGCATTTAAAAAAGGACAAGAATTATTTCGCATTAAGACATTGATAAACTTATTGACCCTAGTTGTACAAGGCTGACTAGCACGTTTTAATTGCTTATGTGACTTTATAATGTAATAAGAATAAATTTAAAAAGTAAATTTACAAAAAAATAAACTTAAAATGTTATGAACTTAGAAAGTTAAAAAAATTCATTCTATATTAATGTCATGTGGCTTCCTTCTATTGTCATTGGTTTTGTTTCAAGCAACGAACATATTTATATATAATATAAAGTCATTGAAATGTGAAAATGACAAACAGTAATGAAGCTCAAATTAAAGTCAATTTAAGCAATACAGATTTGGCTATTGACGGTGAGTATATAAAGTCATTGAAATGTGAAAATGACAAACAGTAACCAAGCTCAAAGTCAATTTAAGGAATACAGATCGGCAGCATAGCAAAAAAACATTAAAGGTGCCAAAACAAGTGAAAACCCCCTGTCGACCGGTCATACCCGCTGTGTACCCCTTGTCATGATTGGGAATAAACGGAATAAACCATAAACAATTTACTATGTAGACTAACAATAATTTTAGTATAAAATGTACGACTGCATTTTACAAAATGATTTGCAAACAAAATTATTGTACATGTATCGACCAAAAACTTGCAAAATGATAAACCTTATATTTCCATCCACTGAATATTTATCTCTTTCATATCTTTAGAAAACGAGTGTAATTTATCGTTCTTTAAACAGCAATAAGCATATCACCTTCGCATATCTCTTCAGCACTGACTGTTCCATTCAATTACACGTACAATGATATTCATATTAAAAATAGAATTTTATTTATTAATTACAAAATTCTTCTTTAATACAGATATAAATATAAACAGTAAATTTTTTTTAAATCAATAAAACATGTACAGTCTTGCTGATCGAACAATCTAAATATAGACTAGATAATAAAGTACTACGCAAGGCAAATGGCACTGTCACTAAAATGAGTAAAGTCGAAATCGAAATTGATTACTATGAATGCTTCTAATTTTTTACATGAACACAGTTTTATGATCGGTGTTTAATATCATACTCTAATCAGTATTGTTAAGTAAAATTTTAAATAAGTTACTGATTTGTCATGTTTATCCTGTCTTCACTGCCTCCCAGCAAATAATTAAAACACAAACTCTGAAAGGCACTTGGGGTAATGCAGCTGACCATATAGGTATTTTGAACTCACGGAAATCCATGTGTATGAATGATATTTAATCAATTTTTGGAACTGCATTAATTTTTATCCAGTCTGGTTTGGCTCCTTTGTCATCTAAGGAGATTCTGGCTGCTTTTCAGTTGTGTGGTACTTTCTAAGTAATTCATGAATGTTTCTTTTTCTAAAAAAATATTTTTACTACTTTTAAGATAACAATTAGAGTAAAATCAAGATAAGAGTATTAAACGTAGCACTTAACATTATTTCATCATAGTGTCTAATTCAAACAATACTTACCTGCATATGATAAAACAGTCATCAAAATAATATTTTTCTCCCTGATTTCTCTTAATTATTAGTATCCACATTAAAATACCACAGTTGATCACTATTGATACACCAACAGTTACACCCAGTAAGATGATTACCCATTTATCAACACAAACTGAAATAAAAAGAGTAAAAAATACTTCATTTCTGTTGAGAAGAAGAAAAGAATTTTTTTTGATCATGATTAAATATATGCACATCTTTATTCAAACCTCTCATATGTTCAGTTAAATCTTCCTTCCTTGCAGATCTAGTATGATTTGTGTTCTTTGAATCTAAAAAAAAAACATTTATAAAATGTTAAGCTGGTTCTGAAGTTGTATTCAAGACATAGAAGGACCTAAGTTATATAAAACGATGAAATGTCAAAAAGGTTACATGTACATAGATAAAAATGGCTAACTCTGTTTACTCTAAATAATAACATTTGCAAAACTTAAGTTGAGATTAAACGGTTTCTTTTAAAAATTATCGTAGTTTCCTGTTAGAGCAAGATCAATTTAATTTATTCTTGATGAATGATGGTGATCAAAGTAAGAATTTCTGCAACCACTTTCCATAGTGTTCATATTTGAGGATCTATTATATTTCAATTAAACTTGCGTCCTATCAAAACTTTTCGTTCTATCTTCAATATCAAATAAATTTCCGGTGAAACATAATTCAGAGTACTTCAATCTTTTACCGAAGAAATATCGTTTCCACGTTTTGTGTATTTCCTGGAAGATTTGTTTTAATTACATAATTTGAAAACTGTTCACGGTCAAACAAATGCTTTGTTTCACATTTCTATTTTGAGGATGTTTAAAACATATGTACCTAATACATATCAATTTAGCACTATTGTATCAAAGGGTTATTATACCCCCCTTCCCCACTTGAAAACCCTTCTCTTATCCGCAACTCCTCTCATACCTCTGAATGAAATTTAATGACTTTAGAATCTTTGTTACATAGTGCATTTGAGCACCTTTTATTTCATATTTTGATCGGACACGTCTCATACAAAAAATGGACACTGACATTCTTTCTATAATATTGAAGGGAAAAAGCATCTCTTATCCGCAACTTCTCCTACACTGAATAAAATTTAATGATACTATCATAGATTCTTTAATAGACTATGCCATTGTGCACATCATCACATCATGTATCATTTGTATCATTTAATGACCTCAGTGCACACAGTGCCTCTAGTTTTAAATAATTATTAAGAGACACAAAACTTTTTTTTTTTTCAAGCCTTTTTTTTTTTGTTTCACGAAAGACAAAATATTCTGTAAAACTTCGTTTTATTGTCTTTGATCTACTATAATAAGTACATACACTTGCAATTACAAAAGAAACATTATCAAATTTGCCTCATTTCCTTAAAAAATTAAAAAGAACCACAAAGTTATGGCAAATTTTGAGAACACGTCTTATAAATTAACTGACCTAAACATGATGATGTTCGCTTCTCATATCCATCGTCATATCTTCTTAAATTATAATAATATGAAAAAACATTCATCGTCATATATTCTTATATAATTATGAAAAATAATTGGCTTATTATAGATTCTTTATCTTACATTAGGAAGTAACTTAAATTCCATCCTCTGGATGACAAACGATAATTAGGATTTTAAGGTATTAATCTGATATATTCCCACAGTATGAGGATGGGGCATATACTCTTTTCTTTCTTTAAAGTATAAGAACAAGACTTTTTTGGCAGTCCCTCTCCCCCATTGATATAACAATATTGCCTGATCCCTAATCTTCTATATGCTAGTCCTTTCTTCTGGAATTATTTTGCTTAGAAAATTGAGGAATGTTTAGGACAGTAAATGCTGCTATACTTCACAGATATATATATGTATGTCAAGTTTAGATGACCTAAAGAATTTCAATATTTTGAAAAAGGGTTATGTTACTTGAAAGACATTTGTTGATAAAAACTGCTTGAAATAAATAAATAAATAAGCTGAAATTCTTTTGAGGATCCACTACGTGGAATACAGACCTGAAAAAAATCGCAAAAGTTTCATTTTACAGGAATTTAATTATGTACTAGTATCCTTGTGAATTTCAACAAGGAAATAAAATATGAAAATACACTAGCTTAGAATTAAACCTATCCATTACACTTAAGTAATATTTTAATCAATAAAATGGAATTCAATAACAAATTTTAAATTTAAAAAGAATTATTTAAGGGAATTTGACTTACCGATGTCATTTTTATATGATGCACACTGAAATACACACAAATCCGGAGGATTCCTCATCATACAAATATCTCTGGTACAATATAAACATGTCTGTTCTTCGCTACAATACTGTCGTATACCCTCACAGTAATTATTCCCACAAGGTAAATTAAACTTTATATTATCTATATCAATCATTTTCTTGGTTTCCATACGACGAAATAAAATAATCAAACACATCGATATTGCTGAAATCATTTTCTTTTCATTCATCTCGATTAAGTTTAAAATCAAAATGATATTTGTATATAAGCAAATAACAGCTGTGTGTCTTGATTTTTGTGCCCTTCCCTTTAAATACTGTGTTTAATTTTTAGGTCATTCGTACTCACAGGATTGGCAATTAGTCATTCATGTACATAGTTATTTGTAGTTTACTCATACTTTGTTATCATTTACTCAGGATGTATTATTGCTTTCTTGCATTTTTATATGCAATGGTACATTAATACTTGACTTTAGATTGTTTTACTATTGATAGATAGTTCTTGAAGATTTTTTTAATTTCAAAAAAATCCCTTTTTTCTGCTTCTGGAAATGTTCTGTGTAAAGGTACAAATCTTTTTTTTTTTTTTTTATTGTTGTGTTCTATAATCTGCCCTTGACTAAATTTGTCGAGTGAATATAATGAATATATTTTTAAGTGATAGATAACATGAACAGCAAATCTTTTTAAAAAATATTCATAATGATTAAAAGTACTTTTAGTGTTTCATTGACTCTCCAATTCCTCATCTTGAAAAGTTGTATGTCAGGATTTTCTCGACATAGGGAAGTTGGAAAATGGAGACCAAGATAAGAAGATTTCAAGAGCAGATACATATACCTACATATGTGTTTTTGACTGCCAACTTTTCATAAACCCTTGTTCAGGCCAAAACATTCAGATTTCTTTATACGAACTCATTCATCTATTCACAATGTTCAACTATTGCTTTACCTAAAGGTGAAATTGTGTTTTTAAGGTCATAACTCAAATGTACTATTTTGTTCCAAAGGATATAAGCGGTGTATAAGCAACTTTTTCATCGTTAACAGATTTTTTTTTATATATAATAAACTGCTAGATTGGTAAAATAATTCAGTCAAATTTCATTTTAAAACAACTTAGGAGCAAACTGTATAATAAAACTACCTTTTAGATAGTTACGTAGCAAAATAGGAGTACCGGTAGTTAACAATTACTGTAATCAACTAAAAATGATTGTTTTCAGAAATATGATTTACTTGATATATATATGGAATAAAAATTAATCTTTAAGTAATTTTTGAGGAAGTCTAGTGGTATATGCCCCTCACCACGTGTCGGGAGGAACCGTGTTCGATGCTTGTTCCAGAAAACCGAGCTGATGAGAGCCTTTTTTTCATAAAGATGATAATACATGTACATACAAGTACATAAAGATATTTCAGAAACATTTTTTTCTGTCACTCTGATTGCTTACTGTCTTCATTATCAAAAAAACTTGCATTTATCTTTAAAGCAAAGGTGATCGTTTGGGTTTTATTTTTATTTTTTTAGAATGAAAGGCAATCTATGAAAAAAAAATTAATTGCTTTAAACATGAAAAGTGAATTCGATTATAAAATAATAGCTCAACGATACTGAATTTTTAACACTCGATAATAAAAAAAAATGACTTTTATTTATAGGGATTTTTTCTCAAAACAACTGTAAAGAAGGCTTTATAAGACATTTACTTATCTCTAAACTTATCGCTCTATATGTCTTTCAAATCTATATTTAAATAGACTTTGTGTAAAATTAGCCATGGGAATTTCCACCATCTCTCTCTCTCTCTCTCTCTCTCTCTCTCTCTCTCTCTCTCTCTCTCTCTTACCTCATTAAAAACACCTCCTATTTTCATCTTTACTGACATACAGTTAAGATAGAACATGTCATCAGTATGAAATATCCTAAATAGAATGATGATATTATTAACCTCTTTGATTTATTTTTTGGCATATTTCAACATACAGTATGAAAGCCAATGAATTTGTCTCTTTTTACGAAGAATTAACAATATGGGCAGTGTATTCCTGAAAAAATATATGTTTATTATAGTTATACAAGTCTTACAGTGAATAACAGTTTTAACCGCTCATGTTTTTTTGCAATTTTTATGATCAAATTATGAATTTATAGTTCGGTATAAAAAGTCATATAATGTTTGAATCTTGGGAACCCAAAGTTACCCGCATGTGACATATATAATTTTGGTAAATCTGGGGAAGTTTCTAGTACCACATTAAATCTCTATAATTACAAGATATTATCGAGTAAATGCTATATTACTTTTAACGAGAAATATAATGAATGCTTTGTCAGTAATTCATTGCAGCATCCCATCTTTTTAGATCTTAAAATGCATTCCTTATCTATCAATAATCTTATTTTAGGGAGGTCGCATCATATACAATTTTTTTTTTCATTTATGACTATGATTGAGGATGGTTTTTCAGTTTTAGCTCAGAGTTGAACGTAAATGATGTTATTATTCTTTATTATACTATTCATTGAACATTTTCTAAAGATAATTTTACTTTTACTAACTATTTAAGAAGTCTGTAATCTTGCCTGTAATTCCCTTACCTTAAAAAGTCTAGTATTAAAAGAATTGTCCTTTTGGCTGCTTTTTAAACACAACAACATAGGTAAACATATACATGTATTTCTAAGAAGTAAAATGTATAAATGGAAAAATATTTCGGACGTGGTACCAAAAGAAACAGAAGGAACTACTTTAAATCACAGTATGTTACCAAAATCAACAATAAGACGCAAGACTTTTCAAACTTATTTCAAATAAACCTCACAATAAATTAAAATCCGTGCTGATATTCTTGTTTCATGCACTTGCTTGTCAATAATTTACCTCGTTTTAGAAATTGTTCATACGTAGAGCATGCTCTTGCGAAACGAATCAACTGAGATATATATACTCCGTATGCAGGTGATGAAGGTATATTGCAGCAAAAGTAAGGGGTGTTGACGATAGAAAAGTTAAACTCATCACGTCTATCATAAAGCTTGGTTGTTAGATTACCATTAATGTATATTTTAAGTAGAATATCCAAATATGGAACAGATGTGTCAGACTCTGTGGTATCTTTTATCTCAAACTCACCAGGATATATTGTGTCGACGTTGGAATGGAAATTACTATTGTTAATTGACAATACGTCGTCGATATATTGAAATGTCGAGTTGAAGGCCACAACAAGTGTTTTCTTCTTTTGCACGCATAAGATTTTGCACAAATACTGCTTCATATGAATATAAAAATAGGTCTGCTAATAACGGAGCGCAATTTGTACCCATGGGAATTCGAATTGATTGTTGGAAGACCTGGTCTCCAAAAACCACATAGATATTGTCAATCAGAAACTCAAGCATTTTTTTTATGTCAACTTCAGAGAACTTGTGTGTGCAATCAGAATGTGTTTTAACAAAATAATTTTGTAAATGACCAATGACCAGTTGAGTAAATTTACGAGTTTCATTTTTATTGAAAAAGCAGCTGTCAATGATATCAAAAAGCCTGGACTTTAATTTATCATGGTAAATGGTTGTGTATAAAGTTGAAAAGTCGTAAGTTTTTAAGCTGTTGATTAAAATCTTGCGATTTCAAATTGTCCGAAAGTTCTTTAGAAGTTTTTAGTATCCACATCCGACTCACACCACTTCTTGAATATATAGTTGCACAGTACTCTTGAAGTTTTTCCTTCACTACTGTCAGTATCTTAGTGAGGACTAACGAAAGAGGCTTGGTTGAACAATTTTGATGAAGTTTTGGAATCCAATATATATACTAAGGGTAGTTCAAATTCATTTTTGGCTCTGTGGAATATCAAAAATATTTAAAACTGACATATGATTTTGAAGAATTTCTTCCTTAGAAAGGGTAGAATAAGTATAAGTTACATTGTCATTTGTAGAATTAAATCCAAGTTCTTCTAAAATACAATTTATAAAGTGAGCCTTACAAACGAAGACAATACTCTTACCTGCTTTGTCGGCAGGTACCAGTACGTACTGATCATGTAATCTATCTAATTCCTTCGATCACAGAAGGATAGATGGCTTTCATATTGCCCCTTAATCTTTTAATAGGCGACTTTAACATGGATCTGATACATTTAATCCATTCTGACAAGGTGTCAAAATCAAACATGAATTCTAGCAAACTGAAGACAACGATAAATCTTAGTGAATGTCAGTGAAAATACTTTTTAAAAATAATTTAATTGTTTTAGGACACAATATATTACTTATCATACATGTACAATGTGTGAAACCGCATGCATTTGTAATTATGCCTCTACAGTGTTATTTAACGTAGGTCGCGGGTTTACAGGGCTTTTAAAAGTGTTCGAAAACATACCATGAAAATTACATATGATTTCTCTACCTTTGATTTCCATTATCTGAAAATTTTATAAAATTCGTCTGCACCGTTTTTGTGTAATTGAATTCCAAAGATGTCATTGTTGTAGTTACATTTTCAACGGTATTCTATTGAATTGTATAGGAAAAACGTCGTTTTCGGCTTGTTTTCAGGCAAGGTTTTGATTAAAACAAGCTAATTCAGAGAATTCGTGTCCCCCGCTTAGGGAAAAAGTCGGCTCCCCCTGACAGAATTTTTAGAATTATTAAATGTATACATGTATACTGAAGCAAATAAAATACATGTATGTCAATATGCATATAAAGATTTGACTGCTTATTCTTTATTGTGTGTATAGAAGATTTTTTTTATATGGAATGTTTATCACACTGTAATGATGATTTTATAACCTCATAAATTTTTCATTTCACATGCTGAATACTATCATTTAGTAAAAAAAAAAAAAAAAAGGTATTTTAAAAAAAAAAAAAAAAAGAAAGAAATCTATCGAGAATCGATCCCGTGACCTCTCACATTCGACGCGAGCGACATGACCACTACACCACGGAATCGCTTTAAACAATGGGAAGTATATGCAGAACTGAAGTCACATACATGTATATATTCATGTTTTCATGTTCGGTATTCTCAAAATTTTACACAATTCATGGTGTTTGATTTATTTAGCATTTATTAAACAGTTCTAATAGATGTAATAAGAACATAAAGTCCGCCGAGAACCTGTTTTATACGCAATAACTCTCCTCATGCCCCTGCGCTAAAAATAGCGACATGTAATACTATAAATACTAAAAAAACAAACGGGGCGGGGCACTTTGAGAGGGGCGAGAGA